ATCAGACCTTTAAAAAAAAAACTGAACTGAACCTGCTGCACTGAAAAGTGCTCAATATGTCATGACATGACTCCAAACACGGGCAGCTGTGGGTTGCATTGTGTAACAGGTTACAGAGGCAGCCATCTGTCCAAGAAAGCGCTCAGGTAAATCCTCTGCACTTGGCACTGCAGAGATACTCACCAAGCCAGACCCAGCAGGACACATGACTAAAGTAAAGCTGCTGGCAAACAGCTGAAAATGTGAGCCCACCCGTGGAGAAGGTAAACCACCAATGTAATGGCATTTAGATGAAATAGCACAAGATACTTGAAGTTTAAATAGTAATATCGATGGGGGCATATTACCATATAGGACGCTGGATGTGTTGTTTTAGATCTTTAGCTTTGATTGTGCAGCAATTCAGCCTGAAGATTTCAGTGAAGTCATGTCTGAGCTCATGATCCTGCTGAAGTCATGCTTTTTAATGTTTGCTCTTTGGCTTTACCTCTTTTGACTTCAACAAATTAAATATAATTTCCTGTCTGTTCCAGTAAAAAAGAAAAAAAATCTCTTGCACTTTGTATCTAATGTGCTTCATCCAAAAACTGATATCGCATATCTACAGGGACCCAGCCAAGAAATATAACAGCTTCTGGATTAATCAATTATATAGTCCTTGACTTCAGGTCAGTGTTGAGAAATAATTCAGGGCAACAGCATCAGCAGCAGCAGCGCTGGAATAATCTGCTTTTAAAGTACAGTCTTTAGTATTGTTTATCCGGTTGTTCAGTGATGACGCGACGAATCCTACTTCCGGGTCTAAAGTAGTCTGCGTTTAATATGGCTTTTATGTTGTTAACATGTTTAATGTTATGTATTTTCTTCTATTTGATCTCAAAAAGCTCCTAAAACAGTCAGTGATCCCTGTTGACCTCCCTCGGCTTTTATTACCACTAATCATTTATTTAAGCTCAGTTTTTAAAACCTTAGGATGTAACTACAGCCCAGCCCATGCAGCAGTATATGAATGACTAACCTCGTATTGTGGATGGATTATCTCAGTTGTTCTCCTGGCTGAAGTTTGGTCCTTTTACAGCATCCTGCCATGCGATTACATTTGTTCCTGACCACCGAGAACACTCACGTTAACTTTTATCGAGTGGAAAAAAGAGTTAGCTTGTTTATATTATGCTAACATAGCTGTGTCGCTAGCGGTCACGTAGCACATCATTATATACCAGCTAGCCCAACTTCAGTAACCTTACAAACGTCACTGCTGTTTAGTTTTCCGTCTTCATTTATGCTGGAAGTGATAACAGAGCTGTACGTTTTAATTTGTTTCCAAAACCCCGCAGTCAGGACATGCTATATTGTATTTAGATAGAAGCTAGCGAGCTAACTCCCTGCTAACTTCTAACTCCGTTAAATGTCATAAATTCCGTTTTCATGGATTCCTGGATGTTAAACTCAATTGTTACACCTGGTAGAGCAGAACGCTGATCATTTTATTAAAGATGAAAGACTTTAGACAGTTTTTCAACTCTCAGTAATGCCATAGTGATCGTTTGATATATGGACCTGCAGCGGAGTTTAGACCCAGACACGGCTAGTGACGTCAGACTGAACAACCGGATTCTTTCTTCAGTGCCGCCTCTGGCTGGCTTTTGATTCTGGTGTGAGGAGTTCAAGTGTTCAGCTCCAGTTTTTTCTGCTGTGGTGACAGTTAATTCTGAAATTATGCACCACCTGCAATAATCCATCCTGCTTACCCCGACTGTTGCAGAATTTCTTGTTCTCATATAATAATAATAATCTGTAGAACAGATATCCCGTTATCTACAGATATGACTTCCTCTCCTAATATAATAAGGTCTCATGTAAGCTCTCTGCTCTAAAGCAACTTTTCATTTCTTCAAATGCTGTAATTCATTTGGGACGATAGAGCCAATATTACGTTATATTTTAATGAGTATTTAGATCGTGACGCTTAAAAGCCACAAAGATAAGATGTGCCCTGTAGGATTCTGTACTTTGACCACTGTCTTCAAAAATAAGTCAATAATGTTGTTATCCTGACCTCACTCACACCCCACACCCACCTAACGGCAGCTTGAGACCAAACAAACATTGAAAGCATTGTCTACTGTACTGTATGAGTACAATCTACAACACACTAACAACATACTTAGCAGGCAAGGACTGTTTCCAAAGCACAAAACATGCCCCATTAAATTTTCATCACTTTACACTGATAAGACTAATAACAGGATCATCACGCCTGGTGGATTACTGGTGAATTCTGCTGTTTCGGCTTTTGTGAAACGTGAAACACTTTGTAAGATAAAAAAAAAAAAATCCCACTGCAGAGATTTGCAACTGATGAATAATTATTTAAACCTCTTGTTTATTTGACGGGAGAGAGGAAATATGAGCTCATTTTGAGTTTATTGGCAGCAACATTTTCCCACAGGCATGTTTGCCACTACGCTGCATCACATCTTCATTCAACACTAAACTTAAACTGCTCAGCAGTTCGAGGCCTTCCATGGGATACTGTTCGTTTAATACTATGCTTTATGTTTTCAATAGTGGGCTGTTTGGAACCTAAAATAGGCCAGTTTAGCAACTACACTGCTTTAATATAGAGCCATTATGTTGTTATAAGTGTAAACGTGGTTTAGCATCATTACTGTCTTGATCCCTCATTTCTTTATTCATTGACGGAGAAATGGAAGATCGGTACAGCATGTGTTCGGATGTGTTTACTGAAAGGTGCAAACACACGTGGAAATACAGCATATAAGGCAAAAACAGTGTCTTTCGAATTCTTGCAAGCTTGAAAGTCAATATTTGATATGACTGCTTTTATTCTTCAGCACAGCCTGAACTCTCAGTGTTTATTGTCATTCTTTAAGCAGTCTTTGGGAATAGTTCTGCAGGGTTCTTGACAGACATCCCAAAACTCTTCTTCAGCTGTTGGCTGCCTTTTGTTCTGTTCTCTGTCAAGATGATCTTACACTACATCACAGTACAGGTACAGGATGTGGGGAGGCCAGTTGGTGACTATAGTGTTCTGTCCAGACAAGACAGAAACGAAAAACACTGATAGATCTCAGAAAGCCTGGAGAACTATTGCTCAAGAGCACTTTAGAAATGACAACAAGGTTGGATCCTTGCAAGCATAAAATAAAGAAACGAGGCATTACTCAAGACTTTTGCACAGTGCTGACAGCAGAGGTCTTGCTGACAGTATCAATGTCTGATGTGCGTTAATGCCTCCTGATAACGGATACAGGATTTTTAAATGGTACGCTGACATTAGTCAAGCTCATAATTTCCAGCGAGAAATCTAAATTCTGATTCATGTTGTACTTTGTAGAGTTGGACACAAGACAAGGCTAAAAGGGACTCGCTATATTACGTGCAGACTGCTTTATTTAAAGATGATCTCTTTCTTATTCTCTACCCACATCTGCTCGTCCTTTAGTCAGCATTTTGTCAGCTTATCACACACGTACACACATACAGTATATCTTGCCTGCTCTGTGTTGAAAGGAGCAGGGCATTGTCCAGTCTGTCAGTTATTTCATTTGGAAATATCAGAATTGTGCCATGTGATATAAAAGTCACCTGCCAAAGTTCACAGACACTCTTATCATTTGGGACTCAGATTAAAAAGCCAGACACCCTTTAACCTGTGATTTCTAATAATACAATAAATCACACACACACTCATATTTATTCTCACGTCTCACTTGGTAATAAAAATATATCTAAGAGTTTTAAAATGATCATTAAGACTCTTCTCAATAGTACTGACGGCCTGAAAGGCAGACACTGAAGGAAGACACTTGGATGATTCCTTGCCAACAATTAAAAGCAGCTCCAGGAGATGGTTGGGTTTTGAAAACCACAGCTCAGCCAGCCAAAGGTACCACGTGTACAGCTCCTGTACCTAACAGTATAAGTAAAAACAACCATGATGAGTGAAATGCTTGGATTCAAAATCATAATCCTAAAAGTAACCAGTAACGGTGCGAGACTTACTTAACACTACTTTTACATCTCTGAAGACAAAAGAAGGAACTTCGCGCTGATTTTGTGCTGCCTGTATGGAGTGTACTGTTTAAAATATGAAATGAATCCTGCAGTTTTTGCTTCTGTTCTTTTACAGTGTTGCCAGTATAATGTTGTAATCTGACTTCAACCTATGACTCTATTTGAGAAAGTTTCGGGCCTTGCACAAATCCCAACACCTCATATGCAACAACTGCAATGTTCACATGTAGCCCCAGAGGAAGGGCAACAGTCTAAATCCAAGGTTCCCAGAGCGAGGCCCATGTGCCAGCTGTGGGCCCACGTTCATGTTTCGCTCCACAGTCATGCACCAGGTGAAAAAAGAACCAAGGGAGCAACTTTTCCTTTCTGACAGTCATTGCAGAATAAATCATTTACAGTTACAGGTGAGGTCAAGATGTCTTGGCTGTGTGGCCTCGGTTGGCTTCTTTGATAATCATGACTAAATAAACACAGAAAACTTTCCCTTTTTTCAGACTACATCAGACTTCACCGTGTAAGCATGAGTCAGCCTAACTGTCGTTTCAAAGAGAGATTGTTCTCAGACACTGAAGCTGAAAGAGCTACACATGAAATCTTTAATACATGAATATGTGAGATTACACAACTGCTTCTGAACTCTAAATATCCAAATGAACCGAACACATTATTAGAGTTTCATGATGAATTTTAATGCACTCGTAGAACATCTTTCATTTGATCTGAGATTTTAAAGACAGCCTTTCCAGCTTACATGTTTGGGCTTTATTGAGACAGGACATGTTTAAACACAGACCTCTGCAATAGCCTTGAGTCACATGGAGCTCCTGCTCAGCCCGGTGCGAGCGTACAAACAATCACTTTGTCTTTAGTTAAAGGTTGAGCTGTGAGCAGGTGTACAGAATCTGCAGCACCAGAGCTTTACAAAGAGGCGTCCAATTCCACCCAGGCCTTGTTGCACTTTAGACAAAGTTCAGGTGTGTGTCTTTGTCCACTCCATAGTTGCCTTTGTGCTCCTCAAACAGATTGCTGAGTTCATCCATGTACAGCTGGTGGAGGGCATCAAGTTCCTCGGCAGTTGGCTTTGCTTTCTTCTCCACTTTGATTGGCCGCCCAACTGCAGAGATGTGACAAAGTGCTTTATGTACTTTGTTTAGTTACAGTATGTTTAAGATGTTTACTGAGCGTGCGGACTGCGTGCCAGCCAGTTACAAAGGACGGTGTGTTTGTTCTCACAGCGAATCTCCCTCTATATCTGATCGCCATTACTCACATGCACCGAAACTGAACTCAGTGACGTCAGTTACTTCTCACAAAGTTGAAAACTTATTGGGAAGTGCAAGGATGCTTTACCATATGTTTTTACCTGAGGGAAGATATCTATTAGGCCTTTAGAGTGTTAATATACACTGCTGCCCAAGTATCCATCCAGCTGCACGTAGTGATGGTGGAGTAAAGCTGCTTACTCACCTACTGTGTTGATAGGTTTTCTGTAGGGCATAAGGCCGAAGGAGTACTGGAAAATGCCTCGTGCATGGAAGAGAGGAAGAGAGACACCCATGATCTTTTGCAGGTTTTCCTGCAACCATCGAAGCCAGGTTCCCCTCGGGTTTTCCACCTGGTCATACACTTCATTCTCCCCAAAAGAGAAGACTGGTACCAGATGAGCTCTGGGGAAAAATGGTTGAGCTCTATTGGTTTCTTATTTCTAACTGATCTCATAGCAGAATATGCGCTTTCCCAGGAAATTCCATGCAAGTCACTTGAATAAGTTTCAGGAGTCAAGCTACAAAAACCCCCTAAAATGAATAGATTGACAATCTTTTTAATAAGCAAAACCATTTCAGAGGCGTAGATGGAGCAGAATTTTCCACATTGCCTCAGGGCTGGCTGATCTTACCCATACTCCATGGCCATTTTGATGAAGCCTTTTTTATGGGCCAAGAGTACATTGAAAGTGCCTGGGTGGGCATCAAGGGCCTCTGGTGCCCCTCCAACAGCTATCACAATAGCATTTCCACCTTTCTTTTTGCAGAGTGGATAAGTGGCACTCTCTTTGTCTGAAGGAATCAGGCCTGCAATGTTGTAACAGAAGGAAAAACATATTTAAAGTGTTCAAATACAATATGTTTATTTTAACATACATAAAAAAGAAGAATGGGAAATATGATTGAAATGTCAATAGCTCAAACCTCCACACATGATGTAGTCTCTGAAGAATGGAGCTCTGAACCAAAGTGGCAACATGAGCAGGTAGCTGGTGATGCCTGGAAACAGCTGTCTGAAGCCTGTCGAATAGGTGCAGAAGTTGGTAAAGGCTCCTGCCACCAGCACACCATGGGGATGGAAGCCAAGGATGTAGTTATGCCTGGGATCTAAGTCAGCCGTCTTCACCAACTGAAAGGGGAAAAAAGATGATATTTGTAGATGTATACATAGTCAAGAGTGCATGCAGACATACTCGGGATGATAATGGCCACCAGAATCATGGTAAATCGTTTAATCCTCATCAGCCTAAGAGCTGTTTTGGACTTTGCGTTGCAGTTGCTTGGCTCTGGCTGCAGTCCAAACATGTGCCTCAATATCTCAGTTTCAACACAATGTCTTTGACCCTCTGAACCTTCCCTCATCTCCCCTGCCTGAGGCTTCAGGACTCGATTGGGTATGACTTTAACAGCCACACTGGCAGGATGAAGTACTGTATGTGAAACCTTTGAAATTGCCCGTATTTCTGCACAAAAAGCATCATAAATATATAAATATTATACAGTATATACTACAAGTAAATGGTATATTCCAAGTGTGGTTTCATAGATCTGGCCATATTTGACATGAATAGCAAGAAGGGGGACCTAAACTGCAAAAACCCCAAAACCCAACAACAGGAAAACGACAAACTTTCACTTAGGTTGAAAGCAAGACACAGGTACAGATAATCCAGACAACGAGGCGGGGCGAAGTAAGACTGAACACACAAAAAAACAGGAAATCAGTCATGGCTAAACTGGGAAATGCAGACACATACATTAACTTAACTTATGGGGTTGACACAAGGAGATATAACAGAAAACACTGAGCGAACACTATGTTTTAAAAAATATTCCAGACCATCCAAATCATTGAATTAAGTTTTCCGATAACTTCCATGGCTACAGGTGTGTAAAATCAATCATCTAGGCATGCAGACTGCTTCTACAAACATTTGTGAAAGAATAGGTCATGTGATGGGGTGGGCCAGGGTCACGCAGTGGTTTCCCCGAGTCAGAATTTTTAACTGGTATCTCCCTCAACTCAGAAAGTCACTGCAGGCTCTACCAGCTCCAGCTTTGTTGCCTCCCAAAGTTCCAGGATGGCAGCAGTGAGCATAAAAAGTAATAAAATTGTTGTTGTTTTGCTTTTGTTTGTTTTTTAAATTATTTATTTATGTATTTATCCTTAAGTTCTGTTATTGAAGTTTAAAATGAAATGGCCCACACATTTTTTCACACGTAGGCTGATGTGATGATCCACATGATCAATAGCAGATCAACGCGCCTCAGGGGACGAGCACCACTCAGGGTTTAATAACTTGGACTCACCACCATTTTTATAACCTAAGAAGCCTCTTGGATGAACCATCAAATCAAATCAAATCAAAATGTATTTATATAGCACATATAACCATGAATATCTTCCTGGAGGCGTCCAGCTGTTTTCTTTTTTCAAGCTATTTTTCATGTTTTGTTATCAGCTGTACCAACGACGCATTTCTTCTCTAAACTCTACATATAGGACATTTCCTTCCTTTACAAAGTGTGCAGGCTAGGCCCAGAAGCCCGTTCAACCAGAGTTCAACCAGAGACTAAAAATGACCAGAGGCTCCACTTGTATAATTCCTCCTCGTTCTGTTGAAGTTTAGCAACTGTTTCACAGCAATTTCATGATGGGTATTGCAAAAGATTTTCTGACTGCGATTGTTTTATTACATGTCTTCACATTCAAGCTTCCAGTAGACATTTTCTGCCCACTATTGCCTCCGTCGTCCAATGCATTGCACAGATTTTATGCAATGCAGAGTTCTAGTTTCCACATCACAACTGTGTCTAATGCCAACTGGATCAGGACTGTAAGTGTTCTTGCCACACATCCTGACAGCTGGAGACCCCAGAGATACACACATGTTTTATCATGTTGCACAGGTGTTTTATTATCTATTAATCCTCATTTTTATGCCTTTTTTAGTCTGTTCACATCTACTGATGCTGTTTTGTTTTTTAAAAAATAGTAATATTTTGGAATGCTAGAGGGCTTGTGTAGCTTTATTAACTCCAGCCAAGAGTCCTAAAGAAAGTAAGTAAAAATACTGAAGGTGTCACTGGACCTACTTTACCTGAGAGCTGAGCTGGGACATGCTCTGGTCATGAAAAGGAGAGCTGATGCTGTTACATGACACTTTTGGCTGGTTGTCTGTTTATTTCAGATATTTTATATTGGGGTTAAAATGACCCTGATTGGTGTCATCATGTAAATAAAACACAAATAACATAACTGACATTACAAGATGTTTCAAATTCGGCTTGATGCAAGCAAACAACAGTTCCTTATCTTTTAAGTAGGGCCTAAAGTTAAAGCATGAATACATGCACCTCTAATTTCAGCGCAGCACTTGATGAAAGGAATCAGGGGATATCCTGCATGTACCAAATTTCATTACACAAAAATGAAGGAGAAATGGTAAAAACAGTGAAGAACAATTAATCATTGACTTGTCTGAGAGGTTCTGCAATATGCTCATGTGCCAGAAAATAACCAGGACCGTTTGAATAAAAAATACTGCACTTGCACTGTTTTTCAGATATTAGGAGCACCTTCCCTTAATTTAGCTTTTAGCATTCTAGGCTCCCAGCACACTGTTAAAAAGGTCAAAATACAGTTGGCACTGCCCACAGCGCTACTCTACTGCCAACCAGGAGGTCAGAGATTCAGGTGTGATGTGTTAATAGTTACATGGAGAAAGTAGCCTCAAACAGAGATAAGGAGCACGTTGCAGAGGTTTGGCAGGTTCAAGTTTTCTAACCCTTCATGCACATAGAAGGTTTTACAGCATGAAAACAAAATATCTTCCTGAAACCTTTTAAACATAAATGTTACCTGTTTTTTCTTTTTAATGCTGGCTAACATAGATGTCCCCCGAACATAACTCTAGAATAAATATGGAAATATTCTGAGTTTCAAAAGTGATTTCAGAAGCGTGCCTAATGATTGCAGTGGATGTCTGCTGAGTCAGTGAAAGACTTTTGCAATGCTTCAAATTTCCACTTCACAGCTGTGTTCTGCCAACTGGACCAGGGCTGTCTTCCAAAGTGTTTGTGGCTCACATCTTAAAGTACAGAAGATTTCAGCTGAGTTTTGAGGAGCTGCCCTTTATTCACGTGAAAAACGCACTTAATAAAATATAATACTAAAAGGTGAGCACAATGGGGGCCCATCGTGTTTCCAAAGGCGATAAGTGTCCAGGGTTGCTCACTTCAAGTTTATATAAAAGTTGAAATGAACATCTTGTACTTCCATATATTTGTCACTTGGCAGGAAGGTTAAAGAGATGTGCCAGTGTTTACACATGACAAAGGTCATCTTGCTATTTGCAAGGTAAAAGACTTCTGGTGTCACAGAAACACTGGATATTAGCAATATTTAATAAAAAACACTCTCTGATTATCAACAATAAAATCTCGAGGAAGATAAGCAGCTCTGTCTCAAACCTTTTTCTTGGGATTCTCCTTTAATGCTGGAGATGTTCTTTTTGTTGGAATTGGTGAATATAGACGGATGCTGAGTCTCTGAATTCATTCCCCAGCTCTTCTCCATTGGTTGGAGCTTCATTGAGCTGCTTATGCAGCTTATTTTGCTCTTTGGCAAGTAAATTATGAGCCACTGTGTTTGTGATCAATCCTCGCAAACTTAGTGATATTTCTCTGTAATGTTTGAAGCGACACAAGTGAAAAGCTCCATGATGTCGTTTGTTTAGTCCGCTAAAAATAAGCACTCCCTTCACTGATCTGTGCGTGAGATTCATACTCAAGACAACACTTTTCTTTTATCAGGCAATCATCTCAGAACCAGTTTCAGTCATTTGATACAGTTTTTCCAGTAATGTTTTCTCTTTATTATTTCTTAATGAATAAGGGTGCATTCACACAGATTTTAAAGCTTTCTCAGATTGTAATAGATCACATGAAGGTTGTGAGTAAAGCTTATATAAGCAAGTCATGTTACTGGACCTTCGTGGAGCTGATTGTTGGTGTCCGTGCTGTGGAGACCTGCTGCAGGTGGCTCCCAAAGTTAAACATTAGCTCCAGTTCCACTGATGAGGCACTAAGTAAGCGAAGTGTCTATCGTAGTGTCACCAAGACCTGCTGTCGAGCCTTCATCGTTACATAATCTGTGTTTCTATCATTCCTGCCAAGATAGTTTTCAAAAGGATAAATATCTACTTTTCCCAAATTCCCAGGTGGACCTAGCTCCACACTGCATCTTCTGCTGCATTAGTGGAAAGGTATTCATAGATTAACCCTGGGGAAGTTTTGTGGGAAGACAATCATGGCAGATAAAGTCTGTGGGCTACACAGGAGTATCACCCCAAATCACTTGTGAGAAAGTGCTTTTCCATAACCACTGACAACTTCAGGACTTGGTAACTTGGTGGTGGCGTCAGGATTAAATGTGGTTTATCGTCATAAAGATGCAAAAATATGTTTTGTAGCCTGAAAATGGCGCCATGTGTGCCTCTGTAATTGCCTTCAGATACATTTGAATTTGCGTCACTATCTCGTCTACATGCATTTTTGTCCTTTTAGAAACCAAGACACTCACATCAGCTGGTGAGCTTTCAGCCTGAGCTGGTGACGGTGTATTAGAAACGGTGGGCAAAGACAC